ACATAATTTTATTGTAATGGAGACAAAATATTCTAGTAGAGCTTCTTTATGACTCGGGCATGTTAAGAAATCAAACGAATATTTGGATTTAATTTTATTTGCTCTTTTTTTTGAAATTTCATAACTATTTGGTTTCTTTTCCAAATATTCGTTTGTTTCTTTTACAATGTTTGAAAAATACCTCACTGCATATTCTGAGGGATACGTTAATTTTTGTTTTCTTTTTAAGTTTCTGTATTCTCTGTGAGAAATCCATTGGTGGACTGATGACTCACTATTTTGGGTTAAACATTTTTTACAATTGTTACATTTAATTATTTTTAAACATTTTTTCACAATCCACCCCGCAGTATATGCACGAGAGTGTACACGGAGTCTTTCTTTTTGAGCTTCTAGTTGGATATTTTTCATGTTATCGGGAGAAATCGTTACTTTAGATGATGACAGAGGCATCTGGGTTTCACAAACTTGTGGTGCCTCTAATAATGTTTTTAATTTTATAATTTGTTCTCCCGACGTCTCCTCACAATTATAATTTTCTGAATGAAACTTAATAAATCTCGTTATTAACAATGAGCGAAATATATTTTTAAATGCCTGACAATTTGGGTCGTTGCTTCTTTAACTATATGCTCGGATTTGACCAAAAAAGTTTTCAATCGGGTCAGAATTAAAATAATTTTTAAACCCTTTTCTTTAAAGAAGCGCACAATCTAATAAAACTTTTTAATGTCACAACATAATTTTTTGAGAGGGCACAATACACTCTTTGCCCTCTTTATTAACAAATCGCATTTCCTCTAACTTTTTTATGGCATTTGCCCAAAAAGTTTCGTGCTCCGACGAATTCGTAACTGCTTGCCTTAAGGGCTTCCCTTTATTTCTTCGTCTAAGAGCTGCCCCATTACACGAGTCAAATAAGTCATCGAAAAATGACACAATTTCTGATGTATTTTTTAACGTTGAGCTTACAGCTTTTCCATTAGCATAGTGGGCTGTAAAATAAAAATGAATATAATTTTAGTCACAGAAACCCTAAATTATTGCAATTATTGTTATTTTAATGGCATAATGTTACTTGTTTCTCTTTTATTCTTATATTCTACATAATACGTGGTATAGCAACGCTGCAGCTATATTATGGTTGTAACACGAATGTGTTTACCCGAATGGGGAAGGACCACGCCCTCACATAATAATAACGTCAAATAGCAGCTTAAAACTGTTGTGTTTCGTATGGTGAGTGTAGAGATGCGGAGACCCTTTTTTACTGGAAACGAGGCATTCCACCTTAGTCCTCAGGAGTGACAACGCATCTGCATTTTGATTCTTAATCTAGGATAAATGTAGATGTGTATGGGCTACAGCATCCACTTACCGTCAGGTGAACTTTGTGCCCGTTTCGTCACCCTTATGCTATAAAAAAACAATTATATGTATTGATACACCCTTATTTGTTTAAATAAAAATAATCTCCTCTATACTTTTGCTTAGAACAGATTACTGTTTAGCATTAAGGCCAGCTTATCAGACATTTTGTAAATAGTTTGTTGTCAGTGTTTTTATAACATATTGTATGCAATAAAAAGTACAGAAAAGTATAATTAATAAATATCAGATTTCTACATCTATATCCTCTGCTAGATTTAGTACTTAATAGGTCAGTGAATACAAAAGGTTTTCCACAAGTAGTCTCATACCTGTAAGCAAATCGTAAGACTGTCCCCCCAATAAGGTGATAACTTGATAAGACATGCAGGAGAATGATGGGTACACATGGGTGAGTTTTGTGTATAACGGCATACCTTGGGTGGGGCCTATGTTTAGCAGTGGACTTTTGAAGAGGCTATAATGACGAAGATCATAGGATATTAGAATGAGCCGCAATAAACTTTCCATCATCAAGTAGTGAGATTTTCAGTTTGCAAATGTAAATGGATTACCTACAGCAGTAGGTTGCTAAAGCACTATTTATTAGTTCAGGGCTCACTTCTTGCAGGTGATGTTAAAAAAAAGATGCCCATTTTTCACCTGAATATGTATAAAATGAGTACCAAGAATTTTGGCTACAAAAGTCAATCCCGCAGTTGTATCCTGGATTGTGGTCGATCATTTAACGATTTTTGATAGCATTCCCATCGTCACATTTGTGTGAACGTGGATTTAGCGCTTTGACAACGCTGCCTACTAAAAAAATTTATCCATCCATCATTAGATTAGTTTTAAAACTAAAATTGATTACCTATCTATCTTTATCTTTTGTACCTATATCGACCTATATCTATATCTTTTATTACCTATATATATTCTTAATATTATGAAGCTGCATTTTAATTGCTCTTACTGGTAATGTCTAGTTTAGAATGTAAGTTCAAACACCAGAACCGACTAATGTAGCACACCATAACTAAATTAATTAAAATGTAATGAAATTGGGTTTTTTTATTTTTAAGAGTGTATAAAAAATTGGGTGCGCTGAAAAATAATTGATTTTCAAATGGGGCGGTAAAAGAAATAAGTTGATCATCTCTGATTTAGATCAACAGACTTACAAAATTGTGATGTGTACGCCAAGGCTCCTGCAACAGTCTTGCTTAACACACGACTGCAGTTTTTCACCTGGAAAACCAAATGTTATATTAATTATTTTGGCTTTATTCCAAAGCTGTAAAGCTGTATTCACATAAAAATAGTAATAGATTCAACATTTTAATTTACACCGAAAGGCATAAAATTGTTAATGATTATTTATTTTCTTATATTGGTGGGCTTACCTTCATTTTTTTAATTTTCTGAGGGATGACATGTTCATCATTTAACTTATGCAACAAACGCATTTCTGCATGTTTGCAGTCAGTTAAATAAACGTCTACAATGTCATCCCATTTTGACGTTTTTCCATTCAATATTATATTTTTGTCCAGAAAATTATTTCTCAGGCCTTTAATGAGGTGAGGAGGATCAAATAAGATATTAATTTTTTGACCTTTTATTATGATTGTGTCGTCTGAAATGAATACAAAAATTTGGTTAATAGGCAATAAAAGTATAAAAACACATTACTGATAATTTTAGCTTCTTTTATTCAATTATCTTACCAGTATTTTCGTTTGCCAATATTTGTTTTTTTCTTGTATCTTCCTTCAACTTATTAATAGCTGACTGGAATGAAGTTCCTTGATCTGATATTAGAGCCACAGGGATTAATCCTGTTTTTATTATTTCTTCTACCACTTGCTCTATTATATTTTTTAATATAAGTCCAGGTGTAGTGCCTTCACAAAAATAAAAGGCAATAGGCTGTTGCAGGATAAGCACGGAGTTTAACACTTCAACGCAACTTCACTCGATTAAATCCAAAACTGTAATCACCATAGATAAATAAATGTGTAGCAAGCTAGTAATCACAGACTACTGATGAACTGTAATATAATTCACTATTGACTGTCATTCAGACTGAAATCTTAGTCTGTGATAATAAGAAATGTCATATTCTAAACTACCGGTTTGTCTATGGTTGAAAATAAGGGCTAATTTTTTTGTTCTAAGATTCTATGCCGTGAGTCTGGCCAAGCAAATACAGTCATATATTTTGTAACTGTCATTTTAAACATTTTTTGTAACTGTCATTTTAAACATTAACTTAGGTATGTAAACTCTTTAAGGTATTTTTCTATTTTCTCTTTATTCGTAAATTTGGTTTATCAACCATTATTATTATATTTTTAACAGTTACAAACATTTTGTTACATATGCAATATCTAGTTATTTTTTTTATAGATTTTCAAACTAAGGAGAAGGGGAGCATGATAGGGTTGCTAAAGAAAATAACAAAACTACAGCATAATCACTATGTTTATTACTCTTATGAATTTATGTTACGTTATGTCATTAATCTTACTATGATTTGGTACAGTCTTTGGAAAATCAACTTATCTCTTCTCTTTATAATAATCAATCATTAATAGAACATGAGAATGATATATCTAAATACTTATATATATATATATATATATATATATATATATATATATATATATATGAATAGATGTGAAACCATCTTGCCATACTATGAGGTATGATGGGGTAATGAAATTGGGGCATGATAGAGAAGGTTACTTATTCTCACAAAACAAACAAATGTGTATTTCCTCCAGATCTTCATTGTGCAAGCATTGTGAGCTCAAAGTCCTCAGATCTGGTAGGCTACTCAAGGTTCTGACGATGTCAAACAACTGTGGTTTACATCATTACAATATAAGCAAATGATATCTTCATCATTGCTCTTTTGTGTTTTGACGACTGTTTCGTCTTTTGTTTATTTTTAGTATTCCTTTTGAGAGATTTATTTTATTTGGATTAGGACTGGATGTTCTCTCCAGCTTTTTCAAATTTTCCAGCTCGTTTTTATAAAGAGTTGAGGTAATTACGGCTGTTTTTCCTCGCCGGTATTGTTTCCTTATTTTAGTTCGTAGAACAGAAGGAATTCGCAAAATATCACGAAGGTATGCATTTTCGAAGCTAGACGTCAGATCACGGCACGCTGCACGAATGGCTGGCTGGTACGGAAGTTTTAACCACTGTTGGTGTGACTGATTCATAACATTCGGCGATTAACTCTGTTCTAGATGGAGTGGAAAATTTCGTTCAGCTTCAGGTTTGTTGCAAGAGTTTCAGTATGAGAAGTTATCGTGGCCGTTGCGTGCCGGCTCCAAATTGAAGAGTTTCGGCTTCTGATACCCTTTATTGTTTTTCTACATTTGATGACTCTGCAATATTTTGTACGTCCGTAGTCTCAGCAGAAACGAACTCGGCATCAGTAAAATTATTTTGATAATATGACCATATACCACATTTTCTGAATCCGTTAATGGCGGTAGACATTGTATCCGCCTGAACCTGATAAGTGAAATATTTCTGAAGTTATCCAGCCTCAAGATTGCAAACTGCTGTAGTGACTGGTGGAGGATGATCTAAATGTTCTGGTTTCATTCCTTGTCTTAGAAAATCATCTGTGGAGCCATATAGGTGTCAGCAGCGTTAAAACATTTTTCTATTGTGACAGTCTGTCCTGGTTCAGCAGATGATAACGAACCCACTTGTTTTCGTCCTTTCATAGCTAATATTTTGGTTTTAGAAACAACGGAAATTCCAGTTTCATCGCAGTTATAAATTTTATCAGGGGTCAATTCAAACTTATCATAAATATCTACCCAGAACATCCGATAGAATTTACTTACGGCCACTTTGTTGAATCCCATTGCTCTAGCTGCTGATGTGGCTTCAAGTTTACGAATTGATAAATTTTGATGACGTTTAGAAAAACTTTTGAGCCAATTAACAACTGCCATTTCTTTATCGGTATTAAAATTGTGTGCCTTTCCATTTTTAACTGCCAATTGATATATGAGGTCTCAGTTCGATAGCTGTTAGTCCAAAAAGACGCTCTTCCATTTCAGATATGCTTCTATTTCGTCTTCTTCTTTAAGTTTAAATATAGTTTTTTTTCGGGCGTAAAGGTAAACCAATAGTAACTTCACCGCCTTCTAAAATCTTATCGCTTTAAAGTAGACTGAGGCACTGTGTATGCAGAAGCAGCCTTTTTGTATCCCATCTATTTGCTTAAAACTTTATCTATAGCTGTTTTCATAGCATCTGTCGACCATTCTCCTCTTTTGGTTTTTTCTTGTAAGTATACCAATGGTATTTAATTAGAAATTTAAATGAACCCAGACCCACAACCCCATTTTGCCCCAATGCCCCGTTATACCCTCATCCTACTACGCGTAATACCCTATCTTGTCTCAAAAGGTAACTTTGAACAAAAAAAAATCCCTAATAAAATGTTTAACGAATTCATACAAACAACATACATTTTCAAAATAAACAACACTAATAAACAAATATCAAAAATATTATATATATAATAAAAGACATAAATGGAGTGATCATAATTACCTTAAAATAATGACGTTTGACTTGACACAAAATGAGATCAACGAAACGTTTACACAATTATCCGCTTGTAAACATAAGGTGCGTGCACTCCCACTCACAGTTTATCTCGCACTGACCGTTGATCGACTGAGACTTCCTATTGGTTTATTGCTTTCTATTCACAAATGTCTAGTTTCTTGTACGTGTGCGGTCCCGTCTTACCTTGCTGCCCCATCATACCCCCTTTACCCCTACTAATGATGACGTTGTTCCGTCGACGGCGGATCGGAGAGGAGTAGCTATACGCAGGCGTTCCCTTCCCTCTATCAAAATATAAGTAGGGTAGGGCGGGGCTAGTTGAGTAATTTTTTACTTGAGCGGATATAGCTCCTCAATGATAAGATGGATTAGTAATTTATCCCTTAGCAAGTGTCCATAGTAATTTTTATAACAAGTCGAATTTAAGAGCTACAGCTGTTTAAAAACTGTTTAAAGGATCTTTTTCCGGCTCCATAATTTCTGGTTCAGGACGATCGGTTACAAGTGATGGTAAAAACTCATCCTCACCAAAAATATTTGCATTAAAAATTTGTATTTATACGGGAAGATGCCTGTCTTTCGGAAACCGTTAACAATATTTATACTTGTCTGAGCACACGGCAACGAATCAGCGACTGTTTTTGGTATATCATATATAGTAAGGGTTTTCCCTGGGTTATTTCGTAGCCATGCATCTTGATCAGCAGCGCAATATTTTTTGAACGGTCCAAAGACTGACATATGACTACAACGGTTGTAATTTATGAATACAATGCGTTGGAAAGGACAGCATTACAACTCCGTTCTCCGAGAGGAGTGATTATCCAACACTAACAAAACGGGGCGCTCCATGGACGGTTTCACATGTTTTATAAAATGTTGCATAAAGCTGCTTTAAAGTACTAGGAATAGGTTTCTTTTTTCGGCATAATTGTACTTGCTTAAATTCTTCATCTTTATAGGATCTTTTATAATAAAGTATGGTAGGATTTTCTTGGCTTAATTTTAAGACCTTAACTTCAGAAATCTTTAAAGATTGAAATCCTGTGGTACCAATGTCATCAGTCAATGATTTTAAAGAATAAAAATCATGGTAACAGAGTTCATTGACACGGTATGGTTCCCCCTTTTTTTCGCAGTGCGTATGATTTGTGCATATTGACTGGGTACGTATATAGGGCCAGATCTTAGACTTTTCTTTATCGCCTTTTCGATTGTGGAGTGAACAGAATCCCCTTCGTTCTGGCTATGCCCGCTTATCAAATATTTATGGGTAATTGAAAGTATTCTAGGGTACTTAGCCAAAGTATAAATATACATAGATATTAAAAAATTGTTTTTTTTGTTGCCCATAACAATTCCGTATTGAAAATCTTTGAGAACATAACTAAATTTGCATATGGAAGGTTTCTGTCTTGACTATTTTTTCTATAGTCATTATATAAATCAGTTAGTCAGTTTTTACCACCGTCGATATATTCCCTGGTAGTCTGCTTTCGCAGGTACCGTAAAATGGGGTGAATAGACACAACTTTCAACTTCTACACTGATTTTCTTACATATTTTGTATGAAAGCTGCTATTAAAGAATTGTCGAAATGCGAGTCTCGTTTTAATTTACCAAATAGTTATTATTTAATTATGCATAAATTTGAGAATTATTTGTAAAATAGGAAAAAGTAGGCGGGTTCTATTTACCTTGAAACTGGGGTCAAAAGATACGACAGAGGGGTGAATAGAGAAAGAACGTTAGGGTTCTCAAAATCAGCTTTTATTGTACCTATGTAAGTAGGTATTCGTTTTTCAGTAAACAACTACCAACTTTTAATTTTTCCATTAATTTACTAAGTAATTTGGGAAAACAACCTTTCGGAATCGAAGATTGATTTCGACCATCAATTTTCTTCCATTGTAAAATTATTTCTCTCCATGCTATTTTCATCGGTCTGAAGAACGCAACGTCGAGTAGTTGCGTAATATGCGTGGAATTGGCTGGTAGGCAATTAAAATGTATATCCTTTTCATAGCATTTTCTTATTAAATCAATTGATAGGTGGGATGATAAGTTATCACCTATTAAATATTTTTTACAGGGTTTATTTTCAAAAAACGGAATTATCATACTGGTTACCCAATCCTCAAAAACGTTAGAACAAACCAGCCAGATTGGCTTCTATTATAACGGGCTTAATTTACGGGCTGGATTTTATCCAAATATCGAATAAGTTCTGAGCCTTATAACTACATATGGGGTAAGATTTTTCCTGCAGCCGTACACGCCATCATAATTGAAATTGAAGCTTTTGAAGAATTCATCACCCTTTCAGGTATTTTGTTCCTCTCTTAGTAATGATCTTTTTTCTGCCGGGATCATCAGCTAAATTCGTTTCGTCGTAGTTGACTATATTTTCGATCGGAACATCACTAATACAAATTTGTAACTGTTGAAAATACTCTTTAATAGTATCTGGAAAGACTGCAGCTCGATTCCTTTTAATATTTTGTGATACCCTCTGAGTTATTTTATCACTGTGCCTTTTCAAAAAAATTCTGGCGAAATCCAGCCCAGGTAAGTTATTTTTAAATCTTTTTTCCGTAACGCCTAATCTATCCAAATAATTTTAACTAAAACACTTAAGTCATAAAGTTCCATAGGATATCCCTATTCGGCACATACGTATGTTATACGTATTTTATAAATTGAAGTTCCATCTCCTTCGATAGCACTGTCTGGTCTCCTTGGGTCTTCACATTTTTAATACTGTGTCTATAGAGGACAGATTAATTAATTTGAAATTTTTCGGCAACGTTGCTCAAGGAATTGCTCCCCACGCTATACTCACGAACAGTCTGCTCGATGAGTTCCTTGCTATACTTTTTATATCTCTCTCTGTCACGAGGATCTGGCTTGTACACCCTCGGCATGATGTTCACAGCGCGATGTGGCGTATCTGTTTAAAATAATCATGAAGAATTCGTGAAAATCAAGTACAAGAAATGATGTAATTCACCTTATGTGAATTAATTATAATTCGAACACAAAATACTAATCGTCGCTACAGTCACTTACGCGTGTGAGTTAAAATTAACCAAGTAAAAACAAAGTAGAATTTAGAATACCTAATATTTAAATGTATTATTGAACATTAAAAAAAACAGGGCATAACGAGAATATATATTTTTAAGAATAAGTCTTTCTGAAAATGAACCCACAGGTTACTAGGGCATTTTTGGAATGAGGCTAATCGCAAATATATCCTTAAACGGTCTTAAATAATTATCTCAGTAATCCAGAAAATGTTAAATTAAATTAACCAAAGCCGTTGAAGATAAAAAATCTAAATTTCAAATTAAAGTGTCACAGAAAAACATTTTAACAAAAAATTTTAAATGAATCATGATGAAAAAATACTCGATTGACAACCCTGAAAATCATGTTTCTATTAACCTCTTTCTCGTTGCTATTAACCCCTCACTCATATCTATTCACCCCTTTCTTTGTGTCTATTGACCCTAAAGGCGTTTCTAATCACCCCCGACTCGGTTCTATTCACCTTGAAATCAGTAAAAAAATACTAAATCTCGATTTCACTAAAAAATAAGAACAAAACGATGGAATATCGATACTAACCTTTTTATTCCTAATAGATGAGAAACTTAACTATCCAAATATGCAAATTGACAAAGAATTATCAGTTACGAACTTGATGTTTTTTTTTAAGTTTTACACAGTCAATAAACACTTGTACGGAGACGATCACTTCAACAGCTTTTTTCTCTATGTCATTAGACTTGACGTAAATTTTAGGGTTGCCAAAATAAAGGCAAAATGTTGCAGTGTTATTAATAGTAGAAATAAAGATACTTTAACAGACTATAGAGCAACTAGAACGACCATAATCAAATTCTCAGATTTGTTTCTATACACCCCGCGATTTCTATTCACCCCATTTTACGGTAGTGACTTTCGATTCGAGGAATCATTTGGATGTGTTCACGTACTCCATCTTTAATAAATGAATCTATTTTTTTGTGGTTTTTATGTCTACCTCGCAAGTCTTCTTCTACAAAACCTTTCTCAGCTTTAGCAGCAACTGTCCTTGTTATTCGGTTGTTGATATCTAAGGTAGCCAAAAAAATATTTACATACACGAACTGGTTCGTCATTGCTGGTTTGAAAATAAAATGCGTGGTTATGTTGCCTCGGTTTCTGTGCGCTGCTGTACCTGTATGCGGGTTTTATAGGTTTCATACATTTATGAATAAAGTCTCTTTGTCTATTTATACACCCTAGAGACCAATAATTCGTAAATATAATTTTTCTTGTGTTTTCGTCTATTTTAGTCGAGCATCTTAGTCAGCATTTATCTCCACAAGGAGGTCTAATGTTTCTGGCATTGATTTGCTTGCGTGATTTAAACACTGAAGTATGTGCCTGACCAGTGTTTCGCAAGTTTTTGGCTTTATTACTTTTCCAGTCTTCTATATTCGATACACGTTTTTTCCCTTTTTTTTTTTGGGATTTTCGTTTTGTGTGTCTATTGGTGGAGTGTGTATTTGGACCATGTCGTTTGAATTATCTGGCCCTCTATTATCAACTTTCAGAAGTACTAAAGGTGAGGAAACACTTGAGCTGGAACTGCTACTTGAGTCTGAGAACGAAGAGGAACTATTAGAATCTTCTGAGGAAGACGAGGAGATACTAGAATCCGATTCATAGTTTGGATCTTTTATAGAGTCATCATCATTATCATCATTTGAAACAGAACTATCCCTATCTTGTTCCAGTTCTGGTATTCTGTCTAAGCCTGTAAAAATTGATTGACTAGAAGAATTTGTAGTCTGATTCTGCGGACTAGTGCTGTCATAGTGATTATCAACGTCCATTAGCTCCTCCGGTACCAGCTGAATAAACTGTGTTGCAGATATTTCGATTCCAGAACTTGTATTGTGTTTTTTTTTAAAAAAGGTAGAAGATTAATTCTGACACAACTGTAAACTAAATGTAATTTTTTATTTTAGTATGTTTAGTTTTATTTTCAAATAATAGCTCACCCATCCTCTCATTGTGTTCCTGTTTTGATTCTCTGTCGAAACCTGTGAATGATGTGCTATTTGCAGGCCTGTCACAGTTATTGCCTCTATGCATATCATGTACAACACTTTCTTTTTCTATGATTTGTTCTTCAGGTATTTCAACGATTCTATTTTCTAAAAAATATATTAAACAAAATTATAAGTCAAACTATTATCGTACGTGTTAATATAATTATAGGTTCATTTAATATTAATTAAATGCTAGCTAACCTAAATTTAAGTCTTGATCTTTTTCTAGAATACTCTTTGGCCTATTCTTCATTGCAAGACTTAAAATTTTTCTGGACCGTGAATTTGGAAAACACTCCATCCTGTATTGTTGAACTATGGTAAACTCTGTAAGGAATACATAGAAATAGATCATTATAACGAATCGTTAAGAGAGAAAAAAAGTGTCACACTATAAAGTAAAATGTTATTCAACTCTAAAAATTTAGACATTGCTTCTGAAAAATAGTCACATCAGATAAAAAAATCACTATTATTTCACAAATAGTACTTACATGTTCAATAAAACAGTCACAATCTGAAATGAACGTTTTTCCAGTCAAGAAAATTCAACTTGTGGTTCCAAACTAAGTATACTCGTAAGGCAGGCACAACTGAAAATGTAACTGTTTTGTTGCACACAATATTAATTTTATGCGAAAAAGTTTGTCAGAAACTCCAAATGAAACACTATTCACCTTAAAGATATTATTGAATTTACCGAACAATACACACAAAAACTGTCACAATACTAAATATGACTCTTCTTGTGGAAAATTAAACAACTGCCACTTGTCTACTGGTACAAAGCCCAAAGGTGACACTGTTGTTGAACGCACCGCCAACTACTGACCACAATACAAAACGTCACTTCCGCCATCTAGGGGCAAAGAGTTGAGGTGAAAAAATAACGCTTTTGTGGAGGAAAGAACTGGCAATTTAAAAATTTGCTGCATATTTAACTCAATAATTGCATTTTTTAAGTTGTGACTTTTTTTAGCGGGGGTGCGATATCATTCTTTAAGTTACATCTACTAACAAGTTTTTAACAAAGTAGAATACGAATGTTAGAAATCATATTTGAAGTATATTTGTTGTTTCTTCCGAGCCAAGGATTAAGCATTAAGTTACTTACTTAGGTGAAGTACCTATTCCGACTATGATCGACTGAAAATATTTTCGCACCTATGTGAGTTCTGCGATGTCTAACGCATACAACTTGCAAGGCCATTCGTCGGGATGATAAAATGTAACCCTTATTTTTCAGACTTCCAAAATAGGGTTTAGAATTGAACTATCACAATTTCAAATCAGCATGCGTTTTAATTTTCATAACATACCCACCAAATGTCATTTAATTGAGAATTTAGGTTTAAATAAAACTTTACCAGTTTCTATAGTATTATATAAATACATAAAACAATGAGTCAGTGGCTTGCTCTTTAATTTTTTGCACATTTTTCACTCTTTTTTTCTAATTTTATGATTTTTCCAATCGTCAGATGAAAGTCATCCATGAAATAAATTATAACCTCACTGAATATAAAGTAAACAATTGAACTATTATAGTGACACAAATGTAATTTTAAATTTGTTACTGTTCTACTTAATCCTATAATATAAATAAATTTACCTACTGATTGGAAAACCGACCATTTTTTTGTTATTAAAATGCATTTTTATGCTTTCTTTTACTATTTTAAAGAACATAATATGCATAGTAAATTGAAATAGCTTTTAATTAGTTTTAAGGAGAAAATTTTTGAACATTATTACTAGCTTTTATGTTTGTAAATAACTTCTTTGTAAGTTTCAGTCAAATAATTTAAAACATTTGTCTAATTTTTTTTCAACCGCATGTTTTTACACACAAAGCATGTATGTGTCTTCGATCAGGGAGACTTTGTTATTAGATTTATTAATTTTGTTATAAATTATAACTATTACTAGTTAATGATTTCTTATATTTACGCGAACACTACACATTGATTAAAACAACTTTTACGGATTTTATCGCGTTTATTTTACTTTCAATTACTTTTATTTTTATTTAATTTTTTATCCATGGGTGCTGGAAAGCGCCCGAAACGTCGGGAATTACCCCCAGTCCCCCGTGACCATAGGTGCTGGAAAGCGCCCGAAACGTCGGGAATTAAAAATAAAAGTAATTGAAAGTAAAATAAACGCGATAAAATCCGTAAAATAGTTTTAATCACTATTAATAGTTTTTAATTTATTTAGTATACAGCCCAACCCGGCCTGTCATTAATTTTATACCGATGTTTATTGTAAGTATAAATGATTCTAGTCGTAATTGTACGTATCTACAGTTAGTATTTCTGTTATTTGTACACGTGTAACTGAATTAAATGTAAAATTAGAATTGTAAACAATTATACCTATTCATCGTATTCACTGTTTATTATTTGTTTGTACCTACACTATGCTTCCAAGGTTTTATTGTTTTCCTATGAACCAAATCCAAATAACTTATAATACGATTATTGTTCTACTAACTAAAGATTCCCCGAACATACTATTAAGGTGACACCGCGAAAAAATGCACCTTATTTCATCGAAAAGTATAGAACTATGATATATCAAAATATATCAAAATTCGTTTCGTTAGTACACTAACGAAAGTGGAATTTTGATATAGGTGAATTCATGTCTTCTTGAATTTGCTTGTTCAACACGATTGTATCGTGTATTGACTGGATTGACGCGGATTGACTCGATCATAATTATTTGCGAAAATGCCTCTAAAAATCACTATAGTTGAAATTACAATAAAATTACTGAATCTTTATGCTTGGGAATTACTCGAATACATATATATCATCAATATTCATAATTTACTTGCTCATTATTTTGATTACTTAAATCAATAATTTTTAAAAAATATTTTAAGAATCAGACAATTTCTAAGCGGTCTTAATCATCGCAGGCGCAACGCAATTTTAGAACTTATGACGGTGGTTGGGCGGCGGGCCTTAAGGTTGCCGAGTCACAATTTCCCGGTCGAGCCTTGACCCTACTACGCGAGATGTTATACTAGATGGACTGTATACGCGGTTGGCTTCTTGTGCTTCAACAAAATGGCGGCTGTAGCATTCGGTTCCTTGACAATGCACTCGCTCTTCCAAAAAAAACCTACTGCTTGCCAAGGTTTATGAAAGAACCCTTCTTGATCACATTAGGAGAAATGAAATTGGGCGGATTAACTAATAAAACACAAATTTTCAAGCAGGAGTCATAAGGAAGAAGAACACTTACCGGGGTGTTACTTCGATGCGGCTTGGACGCTGCGGTGCTACTTCTGGCGGATCTCCTGGGGCCCCAGGGATGCGGTCCTGGTCGGTGGTGCGGTGGAAGAGAGCGGTGCGCGACGATATCTCACTAGGTGAGGCGGTCACTTCTGGAGCTCGACTGCTCCAGGTGGTGCGGTGGAAGACTAGCGGTGCGCGTGGGCAAGAGCCCTCTAGGACGCGACTGTCCCAGGCGGTGTGATTCCAACTAGCGGCGCAAAGGCAAGAGGGCACAAGGGCGGTGCGCTAGCTTATATTGCTTCGGTCCTTCTCTCAATGCGTCTCGGAGGGGCGCGCTTCTTATTGGCTTGCGAGAGTCACGCGACATTCTAGAATTATCTTCTTTCCCCTCTCACCCCACCACCCCGGTGTGTCGGAGGGACGACAGGTGAAGGAAAGGTCGAAGGAAGGACAACCTTGGCAAGCATACCCTCGAATAAAATAAAAATACTAATGGTTTTTCCGCGCAACCATCTCCCCCGGCTTGAAGGGTCCCCTTCAAAATAACTAAAACAACTAACGCTAAGATTAAACTAACCACATAACTAACACTAAGATTAAACCTAAATTTCGACTACAATTTCTAATCTAGAAAACTAATCCAAATATTGAATGGACAAAGGACACAAACGGATTGTGTTATTCGACAGGACCTAAAGTCCGCCATTTCCGGAAATGACGGCTTAGGACGTACTCGAAAGCAAGCTATATATCTGTGCACCCGATTGCGGATTAAATTACGTTCTGCAAGAATCCAATAATTCTGACGCAAGATTGACATCAGCAAATCGGGGCCAGTGTGAGAATTCAATTTATGATGGTAATCAACTAATAAATTCATGATATGGTCTTTATGCAGTAAAATTATAGGGTGCCGTTGGTCGAAACTCAACTGCGAGTTGGACAAGCGTCCGCCTAGCCTGACGATTCCATCTTGTAAAAATGGCTTAAGGCGTTGAAAGGCTCTATTCGGCTTTTATATTTTTTTTTTTTAAATCTTTATTGAGAAATAGAGGATTTGATCAAGCATGATCATGCCATCCCCATAGTTACCGACATGATAATTAAAAATACACAATTTAATATTCTTATCTACGTTTTAAAGCACAATCAGCCATTATGTATAAGAATCTCGCTTTCTCTGATAAGGGAGTAGCAAGAATACTATTGCAAAGACCTATGTCATGCAAGCTAATGCCGTAAGCAAGCCCAAAGGATATTCTCTCAGCTTCGTTCCGGGCACATTCCACTAAAATATGAAAAACGTCTTCAACGAGATCGCAGTCAGTGCAATTCATGGAATTAGCTTTGCCCATTAGGTAAGCAAAACTATTCAGTGGGATATGTCCGGAGCGCAGTCTCATAGCAATTACAATGGTGTGTCTCGACAAATTGGAATTAATAAACCACGGATAACGGGACAAATTATTTTGGATTGTTTTATACCATATGCCTTTTACTCGAGATCGATTATCAAAATATTCTTTCCACATATTTCTACATTTATTTTTAATCATATAAAAAAGGTCGGTATAATACGGCAAACAAACTGTAGGGATACCCTCAGACAAGGCCTGTCTAGCGAGATAGTCTGCCTCTTCATTTCCTGTCAGGCCTACGTGTGAAGGTATCCATTGTAAAACTATTGTGTAATTTTTTGTGGCTAGAGAGCAAAGTGACTCCAAGATAGTGTATGCTATCGGTGTGCCTCGACTATTCGAGGTGCATCGAGCAATGTGTTGTAATGCACTCTTGGAATCCGTTAAAATGACGTATTTGCCCGATTGAAAGGATTGAACATAAGAAATTGCTTCTGATATTGCTATCAATTCTAACAACATTATGGAGACATTTAAATCAATACGTAGTTTCACTAAACTACCCACTTGCGGGTCATAAATAGCTAGACCGCCACAATTACTTTCCTTTGAACCGTCCGTATAAATTTTGTAATAACTTGAATACGTATTTTTAATAAAACTCTTACACAGTTGTTGTAATGTCAAGGAATTATAACTTCTTTTAGCGTTACTTACGGCATCTATGTTAAACTTAATTATATTCGAAATATTCACATTGCTGACCCAGGTATCAAGTGTAAACATATCTAATTGTGTACTAATATGTACAGCAGTATCTTTAAGGTAACTGTGAACTAAAATTAAAAGGGGCTTTTCTTTGCAACTCCAATAAGAATTTTGACTTAAAAGAATCAGGTCGTCCAAAATGGGAATAATCTTGTGGTTAGAAAAGGATTTCGCCTTTAACCAATACTTTCCGGCTAGATAATGTCTTCGTACACTTAAAGGCGGTAGGTGTAGTTCGCACTCCATGACGTGTATAGGTGTTGTTTTAATAAAACCACCGATTACTCGCATACACTGATTCTGAACTTTATCTAGCTTGCTTGTATGTGTCTTGCAACTACTACCATAAAGGAAACTTGCGTAATCTAATCTGCTACGAATACACGATATGTATAGACGCCTTAAATGAGTTGGGTGAATGCCCCAGCCTGTCCCCGCTAAAATTTTGAAAACATTAAGAACTTTTTGAGGATTTTTCTTTTAATTCATTTATTTGTTTAGACCATCGTAACTTCCTGTCTAACCAAATACCTAAATATTTCACATAATCAACTACTTCTAAAGAAATAACACTAACAGATATAGACACAGGATCCCGTAGAAATTTATTTTGGAAAATACAAATTTTACTTTTGAGAGCTGAAATTTCTAACCCAGTATGAGAAAGAAAACTAACAAATTGATTTAAAGCTAATTGTAATTGGTTTCTACCTTCTTCTATATTACTACAGGTGACATACAGAACGAAATCATCTGCGTACTGTGATATAAATACATTATTTATTGACTTGCAAATCTCCATTGTTAAGATATTAAATAAAAGCGGGGAAAATGGATCGCCTTGAGCTAAACCTAAACAACATTTCCTTCTTATTACTGAGTTATCATCTAACTCAATACTTAGGTTTCTCTCTTTTAAAAAATTTCGCAGGTATGTACATATTTTATAACCTATCCCTATAGTATCTAAAATATCTAATAAACGTTCTAAATTTACATTGTTGTATGCACTGTAAATGTCAACAAAGCAAGCAATCGTTGATTGTTTCTTCGAAAATCCTATTTGGACTCTTGACACAAAGGTGGATAAATTATCTAAAATGGAGCGCCCTTTGTGAAAACCTATAGTATCGGACGATAACATGTTGTTATGTTCAACATACCATTCTACTCTTTTAATCAATATATTATGTAGTATTTTACATACACAGGAAATCATAGATATAGGTCGCCAAGAAGAGTCAGATTGAGGATCTCGGCCGGGCTTTGGTATAGGTATTATGGTGATATTACGCCACTGCTGGGGAACAAAACCCGTTTCTAAAAAAATATTATAAAGCCTGACTAAAATCAATTTCGCATTATCCGGCAAATTATATAGCATTGAATAGGAAATGATATCACTACCAGGAGAAGTGTCTTTAGTGCGCAAGCTATTGTCCAATTCGTGTCGAGATATCTGTGTCTCAATCTTAGGGTTATTTGAATTAAATGTCGGATCCTCAGTACAAACGAAATCCGGTGCCAGGCTTTGTAATAATCCAAGTGCCTTCTCTTTACTAATACCAGATCGCGGTACATAGCATCCCTTAAACCATTTCATTTTCTTCCATAAAACAGTATGAGATGTCGTCCCGTCTAATGAAGTGCAGAAGTCTTGAAAACTCTTACTTTTTGCTATACGAAGACTTCTCTGGCATTCCCTAATTTTCTTCTGCAACTTGTCAAAGTTAAAGGGAGTGGGGTTACGTCGAAATGTTGATAATGCTAACCGTCTTTCGGCTACCAACTTTGATAAGGAACTATTCCAGTAAGGTTTGGGAGTGAAATTTTTCTCGGCGTCAGAATTAATTTTAATATATGGAATGTGAATGTCTGCAGCTATATTAATCAACTGGATAAATGAATCATATGTTTTTTGTGAGTCTTCCGTGATAATAAAACCTTGCATAAGAGTTTCTATTAAGTTGCGGTACCTAGACCAATCGGCCTTTTTATAATTCCTGCGTGTCGTGGGTATGGGTAGACTATCTATCTGCATTGAAATTTTAATCACTAGATGATCGCTGCCAAACGTGTCATTAAGTGTGCCCCAATTAAATTTACACGCTATATCTGAGGAAGCCAGCGATATGTCTGGCGCAGATTGTTGTACTGTATTATTCACTAATTTAATGCGAGTAGGGTTGCCATCATTCAATGTTACGAGATCAGTATCTAAAAGTGCGTCATAAATCTGGGTACCCCTTTGATCTAATTTACGAGACCAATTTGTGTGGTGTCCATTAAAATCGCCTAGAATAACTACCTTATTGTTAAAACGAGAAAAAATTTGTTCCCAATCACTTTGGCTCGTGTGAACTGACGGAGCACAATATAAGGATAATATATACTGAACATGCTCACAGTTGCAAATCTTAACACAAATTATCTCAATCCCTGGGTTACAGCTTTCAAACGACACATAACTTGACTTAAGAGACCTGTGGACCAAGACCGCTACCCCACCATAACCGTCATCCCTATCCTTACGATATATCGTGTAACCATTTACCTTCAGCTGACTATCTCGTTCCAACCACGTTTCGCTGAGTGCAGCAATGTGAATTTTCAGTTGACTCAGAGATTGCTCTAAGGGTATTAATTTCGGTCGAATACTTTGACAATTCCATTGTGCAATATTTAACCTAACAGATTTCTGACTACGAGACATTGGAGGTAAAATAGTCAGCAATAATCTTACATAAAGGCCACTTTGATACGAATTGTACACTCAATAAGATTAACCACTCTAAACAACACTTTAACACCCTATGTAGCTTGTCTTCCATCGTCAATTCCCTTAAAAATATAATTTCTTTAAGTCTCACTAATAGCTCGTCCAAACGAACACTGTCATTCCTTTTCTCTTCACCAGCAGCCGCATCAGGAGGCACTGTTGACTCACTATTCATTGTAGATGAGTTTATCGGGTGCTCCAACCTACAAGAAGCCGTGTCCCTCCTACGAGTACGTCGAAATCTCATTGAAGTATTGGCAGAAGTGTTTTTAACCTCATTTACATCCTCTTTATGCAATGAGATGTCGGTTTTAACTATCTCTGCAAATGTGGAGGTATCACGTTCTTGGAATCTACTCTCCGTTTGTGAGATCATGTTGGTAGGAGGGTTGTCAGACTGTTGTCGAAAGCTATCTTTTCCAAGCAAGGAAGCTGAGGACGGTACATATACTGTTAAGGCTTTCCTATAAGTACAGTTAAATTCTACCATGATTTCTCTCAACCTCTTCTCCTTTAAAAAGGCTGGACATGAAGCTTTATGCAAGGCCATATGGTTTCCACCACAGTTAACACATTGGAAATTCTGTGTTTCACAGTTCTCATGACTACCACCGCATTTCGGACAGACTATTTTACTGGAAGGGCATTTCTTTGTAGGGTGACCATATTTCCAGCATTTCGAGCATTGCGATACGGGAAATACATAAGGAGTAACTTTTATACGTAATCCATGAACGTATATGTACTGTGGAATAAATGAACCTTTAAAGCACACTTGTACCGCTTCACTTGGCTGCCAACCTTCTCCCTCTCTGTTTCGACGTTTAAGCCGATATACAGATATTATTTCTACGGGTTTATCACACATTATATTTCTTAAAATTTCCTCGTCAGATAAATCAAGGTCAACGTCTTTAATGACGCCATAAGATGAAGTCCTTTCCATAGCCCTATATACCTTCCAACCTTTATCTTTGAATTCCTGACATTTTTCAATTTTATCGGCACTTAACTCGCTGCAGACTTCGACACGAATCTTGAAAGGGTTAATGTATTTTATTCTGGTGATATCAACTATCCCACAAGCCTTCAACATTTTAGCTAATGCAAATTGTTTGGGCAACTTTTCATTGCTAGATAAATACATCTCAATATCCTCCTTCAGCTGTGGTTTTAATCTTTTCTCTTTGCTTTTGACTAAATTCCATCCCTCATTATCATCATCATCCCCGAAAAAATTCTCCCCCCTATCCCTTTTTTCCCTCCTAAATTGGTCTTCTTCCATTCCAGATTGTACTAAATTCTCTTCTCTGTAAGTCTCTTCATCCGCATCTCATATACTATGTTCACTCAAAGAAAAATCGCTCGCCATTATAACTGTATTCACATTATCTAAATGCGAGTTGTTTACATTCATTAGTATTATACCACTCTAATGAATGTCTTCGTTATGAATGGGCCGCTCGCACCTCGGCAACATAACGGTACTCCGCTACTCAGGTAGCGAGGTGTAGCAGCGCGAACAACTTTAAAACAGCTAATAACGCAAAAAAATGCTTATTTGCGAAACACGCGTCTCCCTCGCACGAATACCGCGACGAGACTGTCGGGCTTTTATATTTAGGCTGAAAAGTTCTATTCGATTGTAATCTTGTAATTTCCTCGGAAAAATGTGCACGTTGAAGTTCACGCAATACTAGCAATTCGGCGTAGTTGTAATCGGACGCTACGATATACGAACGTCGCGGTAAAAGCTTCGCGAATCGACAAACGTAAAGCACGCTACGCAATAATTTCGACCAAGAGGACAAACGGTTCGCCAAAACAATGATTGGAGAAACCTCGCTCGAAACGCTCACTACCAGAGCGTGCCTCTTCTCTTTCGGCGGTTGTAACACTGACGAAGGGTCGAAATCGGTTATTGGCCATTGCGAGGGTTCCAAGTGAACCCAAGAAGGTCCGTGGAACCAAAGCGGATGGTCCATTATCTGCATCGGGGTGAGTCCACGGGATAGACAATCGGCAGGGTTTTCCGTACCGGACACGTGATAAAAGTTCCGTGTTCCTAACTCGTTTTGGATCTTGGCCACTCGGTTCGCGACAAACGTATCCCAACGAAATGAGAATATGTGTGTGAATGAAGAATGAACCCAACATAAAGCGACGGTTGAGTCAGAAAAGGTAAATATCCTTTCTATGTGAACTCTGTCACTACATGCACTGATAACTGCGGTGATAAGCTTGGTAAGGACTAATATCGCGCAAAGCTCCAAGCGCGTGAGGGAGACAACCTTACGGGGGGAGACTCTTGACTTAAAGCTAATGATGCTGATCGAATTTCTATCATTATTCTGGACGTGAAAATATAGAACACCCCCGTAAGCCTTCTCGCTAGCGTCTGCAAACCAACCGACCGATGACGCTATTTCTATGGACGTTTATGTGACGAGGTATTTTAATTTCGCTTAGTAATGGAAGTTCCTCTCTAAAACGCTGCCACGACCGAACAATGCTATCAGGTGGCGGGTCATTCCAATCGCATTCACATAACCAAAGTTGTTTAATCAAAAGCTTAGTGTAAAGTACCACCGGAGCTACGAAACCCATGACATCCCATAATCTAGCAACGCATGACAGCATTGTGCGCTTTGTGCACGTTTCTGCGAGCGGGTTTACCTTAAGGCTAAACACGTCGGACTCTGGTGACCAACACAAACCGAGCACCTTGTGCGTATCAGAATCGTCGAATTCTTTTATCGCCGAAAGACGGCGTGATAGTGGGATTGTATCTAAAACCGTACGCGAATTACTAGTCCACTTGACGAGATCGAATTGACCCGCTTTCATGAGCTTTATAACCTCGGCGGTGGTTAAGGTGGCCTCCTCCACGCTATCAACCGAATACACAAAATCATCCATATATAATCCATTTTCAATTGCCCTCTTAGCTTTAGGATAAGAGGGACCTTCATCGTAGGCGAGCTGTCTCACCGTGACCGCATGAAATGGGCTCGACTTTAATCCAAAGCAAACGCGGTTAAATTCAAACACCATTAGAGGTTCTTTTGGGTTGAAACGATATAAAATGCGTTGGAATCGACGGTCGCGTTCACGGACCCCTATGCAAAGAAACATTTAGCGAATATCGGCGGATAGTGCTATACTGAACAAACGAAAATTTACTATTATGTTGAATAAACTGCCCTGTAAATTTTGTCTACTGTAGAGGATATCGTTAAGAGAAAGGTGAGTGCTAGTTTTAACACTAGCGTTGAAAAGGAACTCAGGTTCGGACGTCCTCTCAATCCGGCCGCGAAGGACCAATTGAAAAGGAACACAGGTCGGGCGTCCCTCTTGATCCTGAAAAGGACCAATTGAAAAGGACCTAGCGGATCGGGTACTAAGAAACAGGAATCGAGGCTTCTCTCGATCCGGCCTCCTATCACGCCTACGTTGGGTTCGGGAACAACGTATGTGATCTCCGCAACGGAGTAACACACTAGGGCGATAACCTCTTCCTTTTCAGCAAGTAGGTTCAGACGGGGATTACGGGTCTTCCGAAGTCGTCCCGGTCCCGACGCCTTAATTCTTCGATGTGGACTGTATAACTTAAAGGATCTTGGGAATGAAACAGCAATTATCTTCAAACCGTTCCGTGAGAGAGTAATCACTTTTCCCTATACTGCTGGTTTTTCACTTTTCTTGAACTTTTTCTCGGATTTTCTTATTTATTTCCGAACTATTTCCGAACTTTCCCCGAAGGATTCCCGAACTATTTCCGAACTTCCCCGAAGGATTCCCGAACTATTTCCTTGGGATATTTCCCGAACGAATTGCAATAAAACCCGTTCACTAAGCTACCCCAGAGCTATACGCGAAAGTGAGCCGCGCCATTCGCGCGCTTGCGCAACTCAATTACATGAATTTGTTCTATTACTCTCTCACGTTTTACTCAATATCTTTATTTATTCAAATCATATACAAATACAATTTATCAATATAGGTAGTACAAAACAATATCTACACCATGATATACATCATATCCTCATATCATAAAAAACCTTTTATTTATTAAACGAAAACTGCCTATTTTACTCACAAGTTCGAAATCGAAATTTCTTAAATATTTAACACAGAAAGTTAAAACAATGTTTCTCACTTGAATTTATACATAAGCTAACCAATACAATAGTTTAATTTACATTTTTTCTATTTATTTCACTATTTAAAACACTTTTAAATTTCTTATACAAAACTATCATTATTTCACTTATACACAGGAATTTTCACATGAAAATAACACAGAATTTACCTTTTTAGCACGTACAATTAACCTGAAATATTTTACAAGTAATTTTTACATAAATCACTGAATTACAAACATTTTAAATTTTTACATATTCGGCCTCCTAAGGGCGTGGCCAGCGTGCGTCTATGAACTCACGCTATGTGAACAACTAACTTTGCACGGCTCTCGGCTATCAGAAAAAATCAAAGTCTGAAATACACCAATTTTGACCATATTAGGCAAATTAAATGCTTTTATACAATTTTCGAACTGTATGAAACTATCTTTAATCAGATAACAATATAAATGAATGTTCTCATTAATCAATCATAACAAATAGGCATTTGTTTTCGTACAAAACGTATCAAACTTATACAAAACAACATTTATGCAATTAATATCCATTAATTCTGCCTATGCACAGAGTGATTATCTCGACCGGGGAACAAATCCGATCTTTAACTTCACTTTAATATTCTTATGAATTTACATCATTTGAAAGATGATTTCAACCGGGGAACAAATCCGGTAACATAATTTATATCTTAAATTCCTTACGAATTTATTAAGCGATATTACTTAGGAAAACAAACAAACTAGTCCGGCCTGGGAGTCGAACCCAAGACCTTCATATCATTAATTCGACATTTCTTAAAGATTTAACTAAGCATTCTCTTATCAGAGCGTCGTTGCTCGTGACTGCCCCTTTTTTCATAGCAACGTCATCGGTTGATTTAATAAACTGAAACATTTTTATAGGCGCGTCGCCAACAATCTCCCCCCCGTGCGTTAGCACCATCATTTGGGAGGCGTCGCGGGTACCAGGACTATTATTCTGGATGTAGGTCTCCTCAAGATACCTGTGCTAGTAATGACGTCAACCACTCTGGTGTGACCGTCTGGTCCCGGTAACGTTCTACTAATTTTACCTTTTGGCCACGTATTTCGTGGCAACGAATGATCTATTATCAAAACAATATCGCCTTCTTTAGGTTCCATGAACTTGCCGTTATCACCTGTTCGAGGTATTAACGTAGGCATGTATTCTTTCAGCCATCTTGTCCAAAAATGGTCGGCTAACCTCTGTGCAGCTTTCCAATTGAGTTGACCCGTCAGATGTCGCTCTAAAAATAATCCAGGTGGTCGATCACCACATGAGCGTCCCAGAAGAAAATGATTGGGTGTCAAACCCTCTTCAGGACTATCCATACTGAATGTTACCAGAGGTCTGGAATTTACCGTATGCTCTGCTTCTAAAAGTAACGTATGTAGAACCTCCTCTCGTGGGCTCTTCTCCTTAAGCGTAGCGGTCAACGCAATTTTAATCGATCTTACTAACCTCTCCCAGGCGCCACCCATGTGCGGTGCTCCCGGAGGTATAAATTTCCATTTAATATATTTCTTAAATGACTCGTTTTTCATGCCCTCATAGCATTCTTCGCATGCTTTCAATAATTCTTTATTTGCAGCTTTGAAATTTGTCCCGTTATCGCTGTATATAACGGCTGGTTTTCCTCTTCTGGCGATAAATCGCCTTAACGCCATTATCATTGACGCTGGTGTCAATGAGGCTGCTAATTCCAGATGTACTGCTCTGGTGGTCAGACACGTGAATAAAACGCCCCAACGTTTTTCGTGTCGCCTTCCTATAGTCACACTCATAGGACCAAAATAATCTACAGCTGAGCATGTAAAAGGTGGCTCATGATGAGCTATTCTTTCCAGAGGAATATTTCCTTGTGGCACGTTTTGCGGCTTTGACCTGTATGTCCTGCACCACTGACAATGGTGTGACACACTTCGTACTACATTACGCAAGTTCAAGACGTAAAATTTCTGGTTCACCTCATTCATCACCGTCTGGTGATTGGCGTGTCCAAAATGATGATGAACTTCTCTAATCATCATTTTAACGATTTCGTGTTTACCGTCTAATATGACAGGTTTTCTACTTTCCTCGGTCAAATTAGACTTGAAAGGTAAACGTCCATTTAAAC